TGTCAGTTATTTGTTTTATTGCAATGAAATATAAATTTGACCATGAATAACCGAAATTACACATTTACTAATGATATTGTAAGAAACTGCATTTAATAAGTAATATTTCGTGTGTGTAAATGAATAATAGTATAAGATGTTTTTACTTCTAGAGTCTCGATATTTTGAAACTGTCATGGAACTGTTTAAAATTAATGGTTATTGAGATTTCTAAAATTGCGCGTGTTTGTCACGATCAAGATCAAGTGGAGTGCCGACAAGGTTATAATGGGCGTGCGACAGCTGCTATAATATTACTCCTAGGTCACTAGGTACGTAACCAAAATACGTAACAACGCACGTATGTTTTACGTTAGTGAGTTTTTCTACGCAAATCGTACTTGAAAAATATTTGATATTCTATTTGTTTAAAAATTTGGAATGAGAATATATACGTGAAAAAGATTATATTTTTGGCAAACTTTATTTGATTTGCATGCATAATTTTTTTTCAGCCGTTATGACGAATAAAGTTATTGAAATAACATACCTGATAGACTGAAATTAATTTTTCATGACTTCTCAGAATTTTTTTATCCAAAAGTGTATTTTTTTAAAGAGGAATATTATTTCCGCAGCATATATTTTACTTTATTTTATTTATATAAAACTATTCATTCATCACTCCTGAAAATACTTCATATAATGCTCTTATAGGTTATGTTATAAATATGTTTAAAAACTATGTCTGAACATAAGACACATAAGAATGAAATTATATGTATGAGTATATGGAATAAAGAATATATGTAGTTATTTAATAACTATATCCTTTATATCCTTTTAATATCTGGGCTAAAGCTATTTGTGTTTGACTATTATTTGTGATTGGAATTGAGACATCTACAAATATTGTCTTATTTGTGGTAGAGTAACATAATGCCTTGTCCAATATAATGAAATCCGTAATAGTCATTTGTTGACTGTTGTATTTTGTTATTTATTTTTTCGATACTTATATAATATTATGAAACGCAATACCTTAAATTCTTCAGAAAGCTGTTGAATTTTAAAGTTGTAAAACTGGATAAGTGGTATATTTTAAAAAGAACTGTACTTTTACTAACGGATGAAGTGTCTTTTTAAATATAAAAGCCAGAAATACAAAGGAATAGCCGATATTCTCTAGAGATAAATAGTGGTTAAAACGATTCCAGTGTTCCTTGTCAAACTGTTGAAGGCTTTATTTAGTTCAATTAAGTCGTTTTTTGACCCAGAAAATAGACCGACCGCATTAAATGCTTATTTCGTATTGTATTTCTATTATTAATCATTATATTTATTTGTTTTGTATTAGGGAAGGTTGGAGGAGAATTAACGAGAGATAAAAAAGCTATTACCTGGCATATTTGTCATAAAATATGTATGTTCAGGCGTCAGCTGTATGTTTAACATATCTTCGTGCCGGCATAAATTTTTCTCTCATATGTTAAAGACATTCTGCCGCTTAAAAAAATATTATTTCGGAAAAATGTCTGCGTACCTTCTGTTTACGAATTTAGGCTTTGACCTCATCCATAATGCAGAGCCTCACAGGTCCGAACACCATAAAGGACATAAACATTTTACGAATTCAGGAGTCAAGAAACTGAAGGAACTTTTGTGCTTAAAAATGTAAGTCGATTTTGTCAAGGTTTAGTTGCTCTTTGTAATAATAAATTATTTACATTTTACCTTATTTTAAGTGTGTGGCTTTTTCTGTGTATGTAAACTGTATCGTTTTAACCTTTTGTATAAATTACTGAAATTTGAATATTTTTTGCTGCTCATTCTTTACTATTATTGAAATTTTATGGTTATGATTATATTTATAAACAATAAATAAATTTAACTCATATAGAAACTCCGAGCCGAAAAAATAAATTTTACTTGGTTGGGTTAGAATAACAAGTAGGAGAATAACTTTGAAAGGTAAACTAGACGTTTCGTAAAGGTTTATTGAATTTGTGCATTTTTGTTAAAGCTGAGTGTTCGGCAGATATCCAATTCGGATGTTTGAAATAATAATTAACATGTTTTCGAAACATTTTATATTTACGGATAAAATGCATTGTTATCTTACGTCTATAAAAAATATACCAACATTTTTTAAATATGTACCTATCATGAAATTTATACGCAAGCTTTTAAATAAATAATCTCAATAATGAAACAAACCTCGAGGAAACAAAAAATAATGTTAAAATTTATCTTATTACATTATTAATTTGTTAATGTCTCCTTTTACTTATTGTATTGTCGCATTTTACTTATTTATACATAAGTATTGTGATGAATTGTCGATGTACGTTTTGTTTTGTATGTATTGTTACTGTACATATTATGTATGAACCGTTAGGTTGTCTATTAAAAATTCTCTAATTTCCTAGTTAACTAATTGATTTTCATGAAATTTTGAATTGGAAATAAAACTTTTTCTGCCTTTATCTCACAAATCTTTATATAAACAGTAAATCGAGGACACATCGAAAGCGAATAAAATTTAGTCGATATTAAAAGTAAATCTATTCAGTACATGGGAAGGCAAGGAAAATATTGAATCAGAATATCAAAGATTCCTAGTTAGGTTAGAAGAGTCTCGGGAGGAATGAAATTTTATTTCAATAAGTAACATATGAATATTTTAAATATACTACTATTTTATGAGGATGAAAAGGATTCTCATCGGGCACTATACCGAAATGCTGAATTTTCTTGAATCATTTCAGCGATCCTTTAAAAAGTCCTTTGTAATTTTTTTTTAATTACAATTTATATATTGCTTGTTACATTATCTTGAACCTGCTGGTATTCCTAATGACGCTTATGATTTTTGAAGTCACATAAATAATAATCATCTTACTATATGACGACTCTTTATTTCATCTTTCCGACATCATAGTTGATGTAAAATCTAGTTATATATTAAATAACAAAACCATAAAATAAAACGCCATTTTCTAAAAATAGTTTCCTTTGAATTTCATGTTGATGAAATCTTAAATTATTAAATACCATCTCCTGAGAAGCAAGTTAGAAAATAGATAAAAGTAATAGCAAAAATTTAATTCCGAATCGATAAAGCTTGATTGAGTGGTTTATTCTATAAGAAAATTGTGACTGTAGTTAACCTTATAAATGAATGAATTCCTCTTTCCTTCAACAAGATTATCTGCGAAGCTAACGAGTGTAATTGATTTAAGGGTCCAAATGCGCTTCTTCTGATGTTGATTTTTTCTACTCGCAGATAGCACAGTGAAGTGCAAAGTTCAATTAATATTTTTCATCTTTATAGTCGATGGATGGATGGATAAAACTACTAATTTTCCTTATTACGTTTATAAATTGTTTAAAGTGATCATTTTTATAAAAGAAACTAAACGATACTGCCCGACGCACAAACTTTTCATTTAATGTTTCATAATGGAATAATTATCAATAATTATTTCATACTCATGAAAATTTTAACAAAAATGAATACAAAATATTTTTCAAATTATGGTAATCCGAATGAAATTGGTATTATGATTTTGATGTTATTTATAGATTTATTATTACTTGGAGCTTCAAACGAGCAGATAATCGGTCTTAATCCTCCATTAATTCCATACATATAAACATAAATACATAACATATTAAGTCGTATCTTGATGTGTGTATTACTGAAATGTTCTTATTAAAATTATTTATCCATCTAAAATGAAATAAGGCTGATGTGAGTGACTTAACAATAAAATATTTTAATAACAATATAAACTAGTCTTAAGATATGTTTTATTCAAACTTAGGTATTTTCTTTTTCAAAAAATAAAACAGGTTTTTGTAAAAATTTTAATTTCCGTAAATATACCTAATGAGTAACTAGAGGATTTCGTTAGTAAACTTTATAAACGTAAGGACGAAAAGTTGATAAATTCTAGACCAATATATGTATGCATAGACTAAAAGTGAGAGAAAAAATTCCACCGAGAAATAAATTATTTTGAGCCCTTTATTCCTTTTCGGTTACATTTGAGACGGAGTTTGTGATTAAATGGGCTCGACAAATATATTTTTTCCCTTTTAAAATAAGTAGAATATATTTTTTTATCACATTGCTTTTAGATAATTTAACCGATATAAAATACTGTATGCCAAGTAGATTGGAAAATTTGGTATTTTCTGTTTCGATTTACTTACACGAATTCAAATGTTATGGAGCATTGCTATAATATTTCTAAAAAAGAATAATCAACGAATTTATTATTTAGTTTTTTTTATTGGGTTAAATTTGTTAAAGAAATATACTTTTAAACAGTTGTTTTAATTCTGCTTTCAACTGGTATTTCTCTGAAGTACGTGCAAAGTTAATAAAACAATAATTTTGCTAAATGAAACTTGTAATGATACTTTAAACGTTCTAGACGCATGAAATCTTTTGTCCATGTGATAGATATTATGTTTTACACTCACTCGAAGTAGAATATAATAATTAAATATTGTGGTTTAAATATATTGCATTGAAAACTTCAAATAATAATGTGTATTCTTTTACTCCAAAGTCATTTTTCCGTTCCACCGAACATGCAACATGAAACTATAGCTAATGTATAAAATGAAAAAAACTTTACATTTTAAATATATTTTTAAAACAACATTTCAATATTTTATATGTCAGGAACAATAGGTACATATTTTTAGAACCAGATGTTATTTAAATGAATATGCCCTGAAGGTAAATTTTAAAATTCAGGTTGGTAAATATTAAAACAAAAAATATATTTTTATTTAATAAAGTTAGTTTAAAATATGTTTTCGTATGTGTATTTCAAATGCGTCCCAAGCTTTTTCAAAATGTAGTTAGATTTTTATTTTCAAATAGCTGATTCTATATTTTATTTCAATAAAAGAATGGCGTTGAGTATTCATTTACTGATGAAACTTTCCTATTTCTTACAAGGATTTCAAATTGAATATAAAGTTTACGGTACAATTATACGTACCTCTCTTTCCGTAATTCGCTGTTCCGTTTTCGGAAGTTCGCAACTAGAAGCTGTAGTTCTGAAGAATGACGCTCGTACAACTGCGACAGCTGTGTCGTGAAATCAGCGACTGAAACAAAAGTTATCGATATCCGTTACTTCTGTATTTATCAATAGTGAGACTTGAAATATAATAAATGCTGGAAAGTTACGTACTGATACCGATTTGACCATTGTCAAACATAATACGGCTACACGTCATAAAACATTGAGGTAAGATCGAAATGGCGGGTAGTATATAAATTAAAAATATAATTTCTGATATTTAATTTTCTTTTATTAACAGAGCTGCAATCATTTTATGCAATACTTTTTATTCAGACGATTGAAAATAGAAAACAAATTTAATACAGACATTTCACATATACTTGATCAACGGGTCTCTTAAATTGATATTCTTTTTTTTATAGACAATTTTATTTTACTTGTTCACTGTGAGAAAATTAAATGATACTTATTGAAAAATGGAGACCACCAAAAGTGCTTGTATTTTTATGTCAACAATAACTTTATGTATACGTGTATTAGAAATAATATTACAATTGTGATCTATAAACATATAGTCATATGCTACAATTATAAAACTTCTAAAAAGTAATAAATTAGAAAAAAAAATATGTATTCGAAAAATCTTTCATACATTTTATAAATTCAAGGAAAATGTTTAAGAGCCAAATTTTTAAGAAAGATGGGTTCTTTATAAATTCAGTCAGGCGTCGGAACCTCATTACCAGTTTTATACCATAGCTTAGGAAACATATAACTTATGAGGTCTTTCTAATAATCTCAGGTATATTTCAGTTATTATATAAAGCATCAAATGAATTTCGTAAAAGAAAAATGTGAATTCCTTTATACAGGGTGACTGGTGAATTACTATCGATATTTGAGGACGTGATATTTGACGATAATATATGACAAAATAAAAATTAATATAACATAAATATTAATAAACTTCTAAGTAAAGTTAACCAAAAGTTATGTAATTAATTACGCATCGTGTGAACACCCTACAGATTAGGTATACACTGACACTTACACATACGCGTGTCGTGACGTAGTGTTGTATCAGCACGCCGCCGCACGCGTCCACACTTGAACACTTGGAACGTGTCAACACTTTATTTATTCATACGGAAATTTTGTCAAAAATTAAGTGCCTATTTTTTTTACATAATTCGAATGACAATCATGTACCGAGTATTCTCCTTAAATATTGATAGTAATTCACCAGTCACCCTGTATATAACATTGGTTTCTAAACAAGAAAATTAAATATTCATTCAATATATCCCATCTTCTTCTTCTACCTGGCAATTTCCCAGCTATAGCCAGGGTCTGCCTTACATGTTATGAATAGTTTTTGGCTATTTGTTTTTACGACCGGCCGCCTGCCTGACATCAACCCTCTTTTTGGGAATCAACATTAATCAGTGATGTCTAAATACTCTTAGAAAGTACATATGATTCCGAAAAATCACATTGGTACTTGCCCGGGTCAGGATCGAACCCGCGCCCTCGGCGACGAGAGGCCGAGAGGCGGGCCCTTTAACCACTGAGCCACCACTGACTGACTAATGTCAATATATCCCATATATGTATTTTACTTTTTCAATGATTTCTATCAACGAACAGTACTTAAAAATATACATATATTAATATAATGTATATATATAGTAATTAGCTGAAGGAACAATCTATATAAATCAAATATCCTAATGATACCCATCTTCTTTTAATTCGGTGGTGCGCATGATCACTTTAGATTTTCTTGGGATAGGAAATGTTTTATCCTGGAAAGGTCCGGTCGTTCTTTCATTAATTTTTTTTAACGATTTTTTGTACCTTTTCTGTCACTTTTATATAGATTGTTTTGTATTGATTGAGAATTCGTGAAATATAATGGGTCCTTGTCCCTTTAGGTCCATTAGCACGAATACGGATGGGATACAAATCACACCAAAACAAAAGTAGAATAAGTTGATGTCCATAATATATGTATGTATTCAATGTCCGTTCTGATGACTGTGATATAATTTTATAATTAAAAAAATGTAAAATAAGACTGAAAAAATAAAGACCTAGAATTCAAAGACTAGCCAAAATATGAAGTTAAACTGATAGTTTTTAGTGATATTTTGAATAGTTTAATTATAAAAAAAAAAACTAATTAATTAGCTTGAAAACAACGTTTACGATTTTACTAAAATATTGTGTTTCTTTTTTGTATAAAAAATGTTATTTCTTTCTCTTAACTGACTTTGAAACCAAGGTATTACAAAGGGTAAAAACTAAAGTGCTCTTTATTCATGTTAAAATAGGTTTTTTATAATTAAACTGTAAGTGAAGTTCTCTTTCTTGTTCTATTTTAAAGGAAACTTCGGGTTTTCCTTACATATGGTATTTTTTAATAACTAAATTTAAAAAAACTCAGATTTTCACAATAACACATCATTAATTAGATATTTCAGTAGAAAAGAAATTTTAATATTCATCTTCTATTAAAATTAAATCAAGGTGTCATCTAAAAACTGAAAAAAAGAATCAACAAATGAAGTTCTGCGCTCTATGATTTCAGGTAGACCGAAAGCCAATTTTTAGGAATGGGAAAAGTGAGTTTCTTTTTTGTTTACAATTTTCATCGTGGATTTTCATCTGTTAAGTATACGCCGGTGTTATAACGAGAAATTCTAAAAAGGTAAAAGTGTGAAACGGAAACTCTCTGACGTAATTCCGTACTGTTATATTTGGATGTTTTCCTAACTTTGAAGATAAGGGACAAAAATAAAACGAATAGTTTATCTTTTGGTTCAATGTAGGAGTAAAATATGATAATAGACTTTATAATTTTTTTGAGTTAAGCATTTTTACTGTATTCAACTTTTTCAAATAGTTTAATTTGCAAAATAAATATACTTAGTTTTAGAATACTCAATGAACAAATAAATAACTCATATATGTAGATGTTCGTATTTATTTCAGTTAAAAGTTGCTACAATTTTCATTCGTTTGTTTCGCGTATGTATTTCCATTGCTTAAAACATATATAATAAAAAACTTCAGCAATAGAAAGTAATGAACCACCAAAACCAAGCCCAAAACAATTTCCCATGGCAACTACTAAGTCCAGAGTTGTACGAGCTACTTGACGGGTCACTATTTCATATGGCTGGTTACTTAAAATAAACTTTACACTACCAGATTTAACCTCGTTTTCCGATTCAGATGTCTTTCTAGCAACGATATTGTAATCCGGCTCAACACAAGACGACAGACAATCGCAATTCAAACCAGTCTCGTTGAACCCGGGTACTTTCAGTTTCTTCAATATTCCATAGTACTTTGTGAGACATTTCAATCCATCTAAATCACAATATCGTGGTTTGAATTCCACTGGAGCTAAATGAGATGTACAATTGCAGATTTCAAGCTGGGCTTCAATACGACAATTTATAATACATGTTGAGTAACTGTAGTGTTTGTAACCAAGAAAATTTTCCGGTAACTCGTTAGGGAATCGACACTTACGAACTTCTGGAGGAGTGAAGGAAACATCAGGGTCATTAATTACATCCACAATTGAGAAATGTATAGAACCACTGCTTCCAAATGGTATTGAAAGGCGCCTATCGTATTCTATATTCCAATAGGGTACATCTTCTTGAGAATGCAAAAAGGCTTCACTGTTTGCTGATAATTCCAGTTGTAGCGTACCTAATTTGCGTTGGTTTGACGAAGCTATGTAATACATTGGATTTTTAACTTCAATTTGTTTATTGTTCATAGAAAAACATCGACCGAATTCTGTTTGGATGGAATTGAAATGTTGACAACAATTCATAGGTTTATCGTCCCAAAGGCAGCTGATAAAAAGGTCTTTACATTCGGAATGAAATGTATTTGTGATATCAACAAAATCAATACTTGTTCCTTGAAAATCTAGGTCATATTTGCAACTTTGGCATTCTCCATTAAAATACGCAATATCAGTGGCGAGGACTACCATGTTGGGAACATTCTCAATGTTCATCTTCTGGACTGTTTCTAATATTTTGTTGACATTAGGAGTTTCGCAGATTGTAATAGATGGAAACGTGGTATTCCAATCGAGGTAGTTCGTGCGAGTTGTAAATCGTATTTTATCTTCTTGATAGATCAAAATGTACTTGTAAATTGAAGCAACTGCGGCTATCCACACATTGACATAGATGAGAAAATAAATGAATCTATATATGAAATGAACGTCTTTCCGCACCAAAAAGTTGGGACCGTGAACGGATAGATTCTCAAAAGTAAATTTCATTCGAGGACCAAGAATTTTCAATTTTGTTCGAATCTTATTCATCTTAATTATATGAACCGTACTGAATGATGTTTGCTACCGAAATGATCTTTTATAAGGTAATATCTGTAATTAATGCATTAACTTAATGTTTCTTTGGAAGCGTATGTATTACAACTAATGGATACTGTTATAAAATAAACTATATCAAATAAATGTAGAAGTTTTTGATAGAAACGTTTGATAAAAGTTTTGGCAATTTTTATAATGGTGTAGCTTAATAACTTGATAGCTATAAAAGAATCAATGAAACAAGCTTTGTCATTTCTATGTTAGTTCACTATAAACGTCAGTCGTTTAATACAAGCTAGAATTATTAGTAAAATATTTAACTTTTTTTGACAAATCTTTTATTTAAAATATATTCACAACAAAGAAGAAAGTGATAGTTTATTGTTAACAATAGGTATATGGTTATAAATTTTATGGTTATTATCAAAAAAGCTTTTTGAATAATATTTTTCAAATAAATTATTAAGGTCCTTTTATAACAGTCTTTATCTGACTGCGGTAATCTGATGTACACTGGCCGTTTGTTTGGCTTTAGGGTCTCATACATCTTGGAAGCTTAGCTATTACTGGCCAGATGTGTTTATTCTGACATTAATTGTTCATAAAGAAAAACTAAAATAAAAACAAGGCAGTCCATTACTGTTAAAATATACGCCAAAAAGTACATAATATAAATGGCTACTCTCAATCGACAGAAGATATACTACAGAAATATG